TTATGTACGCATAGCAATTTTTTTACAGGAAGGAGGACCGCCCGGCGAAGCCGGGCGTCACCATAAGAAGGAGGGAAGCCCGGCGTCAGCCGGGCAGCCCGACTGGTGAATTCATATGCGGGTTTGCGTCAATGTCCACATTTGCTACTTGCGGCCATGACTTCGTATATCCGTTGCCCCAACAAGTTGAAAATTTTACTCCCGCGTCACCAATTTCCAGTTTTGCGTGTTGGATTTTTTAGACAGAGTATAGCCGCCAAAAGTCAGTATGACAGCTTTTCGTCGCTCTTAGAGGCACCACTGTCGTATAGAACACGACATTGCCTCGAAGTTTTCGCGAGGTTACCTTAAGTCAGATATGGCTTCTCCCTTTCTTTCTATCCTTGCTAATGTTCCCAGATTAGGCTTGTCGTTCTGGCCGATTTGGTGGGTGCAGTTCCTGCAAACATGCTCATTGCATCGTCCGCCTGCCTAGTTCATCCTTTAGGTTCATAAATGAGCAAATGAACTAAATAATGATTCGACTGCCTTAAACTCATACATTATTTTCAGGGAACTGAACTTACTCGTACCGACTGTAAACACACGGACCGACTGAAGGTTAGTAGCAGTTCGTTTACTTGCTTACAACTCGCGGCTGTGCCTCTAATGCTCTGATTTATTACTGCGTCGAACGCGGCAATGGCTAATGCCGACTGCAAATCCCCACTTGGGTCGTCTGTTCTATTTTCACATAAGTGTCTTTGAAAACGGGGGACTGATATGATAACTAAAGTTGAGGTTTTAATAAATTTCCCTACTGCACTATGCACCCAATGGGAAGCGTGTAAGCATACGCTTTTCTGGGTGATTGGAGTATTTTTTGGGTTCATATTAGTTTCCTCCAAATAATATCGTAGGCTTTCTTATGATACAACTCGTATAATAAGAAGTCTGAAAAAAGGAACGAAAAATTGCAAAGTGCCCGGAAAATCTAGAAAATCATTTTCTTGACCGTGGAGGCTTATTTATGAAGCTTCGGGGATGTTCCTTCAACGAAGTGGACTGTACATAACTGAGGAAATGTCGTATCACTTGATGTTCATTGCTATTCATTACGCTCGAGTAACCAGCGTTGAGATCCAATTAGTATGACTATATTTCACTCATCATAAGTGCCTGCAAACCATAAAAAGTGGGTCATAGAAGAACTGTGATCAATGACACGACAGCACTATTGAAGCTTTCTCTGAACCCTTTTCTCAAAAACTTTAGATCCCTTCTGGTAGCAGAAGGAGCTGGAGCTTCGTACACCTGCTCGTTTTGTTGCGCATCTGATCAAAAATAGAAATTTGTCATCTTCGTCTATGCAGACAAAGGCGTGGTTTGTATTGAGGGTGGAGTCTCCACAATGAATGAAACTCTTGTTCGACAAATATTTGAAACAGTCTCCACTCAACTGATAAAAACTGCTTTTCTTACAAATACGAACTGCTGTAACTCCAGTTTTAATGAGAACATTACAACTGTTCCATCTCATATGAATAGAAAATAAATTCTGTTTTCAGAAATGCACCGCTCAAGGTGAGCATCGAGCTTGGGAGAACTACGAGAACATCGAGATTCGACATTGTGAGCAGCCATTCAAGCGATCAAAACGGATGGCTAAGACATCGTTAGAATTTAGCTTCCCTTTTTAATGTTGATTCAAAAATTTTAAGGTTCAGGAGCGCCTTAAACTAGTCAGGCTATTTGGAAATTAACACTTTACAGTTAGGTATTCAATCGTTTGGAGTCATGTAGGAATCTGGTTTAATTTCACAATTGAAACATTCTTTAAAAATGAGCCAAATTTCCCAAGTAGACACGATGACTTCCGGGTAGCAATCCAGTGTACACTTGAGAAGGGCACGGCCTCACTTAACTACCACTCCACCATCTTCTATCCTGCTCCTTGCCGTCTTCCTTGCAATCGAATCCTGCATTCTTCCATCAGTCGTGTCATGGTTTTGATTTATCAGACCCTTGATAAAACCTTGAATGGCATAAGCAAGCAAGTGCAAAGGGGACGTCATTAATCACGTGCAAATAGTTCCCCAGGGAACCAGCCAGTTTTCACCTTTTCAATGTCTGCTGTCATAGAATGGGGATCGAAGTCGAATCGATGTCAAATCCAGCCGAATACGCTCTATAGGAACTCGTTGACCCCTCAATGATAAAAGTGGAACCTTGTAGCTACTCTGAACTGCTTGTGGTAGTTAAAAGGGCACCGCCACATTATCAGAAAACCATACCAGCACATAAGCTGCTGAGAGGGGAATCGGTGCGGTCTGATGTCATATTAGAGTGCAAGCCGATGTGCCAGCGTACTTCAGCTAAACTACTGAAAACTGTGGGACTGGGAAGAAACTACGAGCGCTACCGTAACGAGTTAAATAATTCGACTTCGGCGTTCAAGACTCTATCGTCTTCCATGTTATGAATAATCTATTAGGTGTGTGCATTAATTTCCGCCGTTTTTTGCGTGCGAAAACATATTTATTACAAAACCAAAACCAACTGTACATAAACCAATGTATTGTCCATCGTTAGCTACAAATTATTGTCATCTTTCTGGTATCTTGTTGACTCCGCGTCTAAAAAAGTCTTCGTCTTTTGAGGCAGTCCAGTCATCCACCTATTTTCGCTCTTTTTCGGTTCCGAGAGCGTGTATCTGCCAAACTGATTTGCATGGACCGGAATAGGTGGTAATCAGAAAGAGCAAGATCCGGAGAGTATGCGGGCTGAACAAGCTGATCCCATCCAACAACTGCAATTTTTTTAAAGGACATTCTTCGCAACATGGGGTCTGGCATGT